ATGGTTCAAATCAACATTCACTGACTGAGAGTTACTTTTTGTGTCCATTCATTCTTGCCCTAACGAAATGTTTATCCAAACATTAAAAGAGATCCTTGCTAAATAAATTACTCTTATAACCTTGTTATAAGAAGTGTAAGCTGACCCTTACAGTTACGTCTGACATAAAAGGTACCACCTCCAGGAGTGTGGCCAAGCATTCAGACATGTTAAGAAGTTGATTCATCGTCATTCATTCAGTTATAGAGTTTGAAGTCTCTCTTTTAGATCAGCCTGGGACAGCCTGGGCTCTGGAGAAGGACTGTTTTGCTTTCCTGATAATYTTCAAGGCTGATTGGWGTCAGAGATGAGAATAAAGTTTTCAGAAGAGAATCAACTGTTTTATCTGCTGTTTTATTCAGACTTCCATTTATTGATCATGATTTTCTTACACGAGGATTAAGAATAACGCAAGGATTTGTTGGGAAGAAGTGTATCAATACACAAATTAAAAAGGCTGTCAAGCTAATGCAAAAAGATTACAAAACAAAGAGCTGACAGGGCATCTATAAATGGCAAAACACTAAGAACCAAAGAGTAGAATATACCAGTATGACAGAGTGAGGATGGAATGAAAGCCAGAGGTACCTTAGGTACTGAGGGAGTAGTGAAGTAAGTGGCAACAGCTGGGTCTAAATGATTGTAAGGAACAGGTGTGAGATGAGGAGCGAGACTGCAAAGCAGAGGTGACTGAAGAGAAAGTCTGATGGCACAAAGAAACACATGGGAACAGAACTGAACACATGATCTGAACAAATAGTAGATAATAACAAAACAAAAGTAAAAAAAAAAAAACACAGCTCATGATAACTCTGTCATCTTTTATCATAGTACGATCTTAGTGTTAGTTTTCATTATTCAAAACTTTAAAATATTTCCTCTAAATGTGCTTCCAAAAATGGATGGAACAACTGTGGTGTGAGTAAGGAGGATGATAGAGAATTGAGCTGAAACTCCCTCTAAAACCAGGACACACACTGTTAAATCAGCTCAGGCCACCTGCAGAAGCACAGTGTGATTGTTGGCTGAGTCTCAGGAAGCTAACGTTTGTTCCAGCTGGAAACTCTTGAAATGGTTTGGACTGGTGTTTCCGTCCATCAGTGTTAGACTCACTGATTTGATTTAGAAAGAGTTAAAGTCATCAGTCAGAGGTCAGTGGACTGCTTAGCAAGAACCTGAGTTCAAAGACCATCCCTGACCCTCGGCTGGAGTTTTACAAAACTTTCTTTTAGGACCTGCAAGCTACCTCAGTTTAGTTCATCTATTACATCTCCAGTCAGGCTTGTTTCACCTGTCAGCACCGTGAAGGCCTTCAGGRGCAGCCTCTTCAGATTACCACTGTTCAGGAAGAGGTGATGGAGCAGCAGGACTTGCTCAGCCAGGCTCAACACCTCAAACCTTCAAGCTGTGACGACCTTAAACACAAAATAAACCTTCCTTATGATTGCTGCATCCGGGCTGACTGAGACCGGCATTCGTCTCCTCCCAGTCCTACCATCCACTACACTTTTTTCATTACCTGACACTTGGTCATTCAGCTACAATAACYTTTAGAGATCTCATGATCATTGATCTCATGCACTGTGTTATCACTCAGACCGAGTATGTGTGTAAATGACTTTAAGCTTCCACCAGTATCTTTAAAATTGTTTGAAATAGTCATTTTTTGTTTGCGACATTTAATTAGCTGTTGCAGCCATGCTTGGCTCCAAAATTTATTCAGTG